AAATGGAGCAAAGTATATTCCAGGCATGTATAATTATGTCAAAATGAACCCCACTATTATGTATAACTATAATGTACTAATAAAAATATTTTTAGAAAATGTATATAGATATTTGTGGAGGGGTACTGAGATTTGAACTCAGGGGCACTCTACCACTACTGAGCCACATCTCCAGCCCTATTTTGTATTTTATTCAGAGCCAAGGTCTCACTCAGTTGCTTAGCACCTTGCTTTTGCTGATACTGGCTTTGAATTTAGGATTCTCCTGCCTCGGCCTACTGAGCCTATGGGATTACAGACATGCACCACGATGCCTAACCATTTTTATAAAGTATCTAAAACTATGGGAACAGAGACTGGCAATTATCAATGCACCTACTCATTTTGTTGTCTCTACCTGTAACAGTTACACATATTCTATTATTGATCAAAATTAAGTTTGAGAGAAATTTTACCACAAAATAAAATTTAAAAATCAAAGCAACTTCCACAGATTTTTGAGGACCCAAGGCTTTAAATTCATAGTCTTAAATTACTTATAGCATGTAATACTAACATTGATTTTTTTGGGGGGGAAGGTACTGGGGAGTCAACCCGGAGGGGCTTAACCATTGAGTGACATCCCCAACCCCTTTTTATATTTTACTTTGATACAGGCCCTTGCTAAGTTGCTGAGGCTGCCTTTAAACTTATGATTCTCCTGCCTCAGCCTCCCGAGCTGCTGGTATTCTAGGCATGCACCACAATGCCCAGCTTATCATTTTGATCTTTAAGTAAGTTATATTTTATTGTAAAAATGTATTTTCTGTATTATTTTATGGGTTTTCATAAGAAAATGGCATAATGCAGTTCATTCTTGTCATGAGCCATCTGTGGCCTGTGTGTGGACTGTGTTGCACATAGTAGCCTAATGAGGGGATAAGTCTGGCATTGGGAACCTCCCGTGGCAACCCCATAGGTATTGATCACCTGATGCAGGTGACTTTCCCTTCAAACTCTGCCAGAGATCCCACACAGCACCTGTGATGGGTGTGAACTGCCAAAATGTCAGTCAACCTGATGACTGCAAGACAACATGAAGCAAGACTCTGTCCTTGAAATCTTATTCCTGCCTTTGATGTCCCCCAATATAAATAAAGCAAGAATGGGCTCCATTTTGCCAGAGTATAGAAGCTTGATCCATCTGATCAGTCTGCCTGTCCTGCCCCCTCTTTTGAAACTATTTCCTGGGTTCTGTAGTTTTTTCATCACTCTATTTTTCTTAACCTTTATTCCACAGCCAACTAATTTCCACCTCTTGCGTGGGATGTGGGCGAGGATCCTTACTTGTTAGCTACTAGTATGTCTAACTTTGCCCATGAGAAACTGGGTGGAAGACAAAAGGTTGGGTATTCATTCAGGGGAAATAACCTCTGTTAAATTATTTAAATAATGATTGTATTTAAAATACAATACTAAGGTGAATCTTTTTAAATAGTAATTCATGATACATGTGTTAAAGTTCTGTGAGCTAAGGAAACAAATTAACATCTAGAATTATCATGGAAGCCAGAACAATTGAGGAAAAAGAAATTGAGGTGCTCCTTGAAATTTGAGCAGAATCTGCACAGAATTTAGAAAAATTTTCTAAGCAAGTAAGATCTTAAGATAGACATGAAAGTTGTATGTACAGAACACCATAAAGATGACCTGATTTAGAGTGCAGGGTGTATGTTTCCAGAGAAATATTTATAGTAGAGTTGAAATGTCCTTCTTAAGGTGATTGTCATGAAAGTATGGTCTACTAGAAAAGAAACTTCCCTAGTGCATGGTAATTCACTGTACTGCCCCATATACAAAATTTTGAGTCATTTTTTTTTCTGTTCAATTATCACTGTATCAAGGTAGAGAAAGGTTGGTCAATGGGTACTAACTTACAGCTAAATAGGAAAAATAAGTTCTAGTCTGCTAGTATACATTATGTTGTGCATAGATAGCAGTAATGTACTGTATATTTTCAAAAATTTAGAAGAAAAAATTTAAATATTTTCACCATAAATAAATGATAAATATTTGATGAAATAGATGTTTACCTTGATTTGAACATCACACAATATATACATACATTTAATCTTCATATGGTACCTCAGAAGTGTGTAGAATTTTGTGTTGATTTAAAAATGATATGATTATCTTAATCCTGAAGTATATTTCCTTCAATATACTAATGAAAAATCTGTTTTAAAAGATTTTTGACTGAGACCTTTTGTATGAAGTAATATTTATCTTGCTATTTTTTTTAAAAAACATTGTATTACTTTTGTGCTGCATCAATGGTTTTTTAAATAAAAGTAGCCTTCTTTAATAAAAGAGGAACATCCAGCTAAATTCCTCTCCCACATGAGTTTTGGAAATGCTACATTGATGTTAAACTTCTTTAAAAAGATATATTCATTGTTGAGAGCAGCAACTTATTTATGGGTCCTGAACTGTCCTGTGACAGAGGCGATGCCCCTCTGGAGAACTCTGAGTGTGAAGCCATCCATTGAGATAGCCCAGTTGCTATGGTGATGTCCTGTTCAATTGGAGGTTCTGTGCCAACCATGAAGCTCTTTAGTTTTTATCCTTGAGGTTTAGATGCCCGCTTCTCGGGAGGTTGAAAGTTATGGGCACAAGCTGATACTCATAATGAGGCTGCTCATGCTCATGACCTTGATTCTGCTTGCTTTGAAGAAACTTTCTAACAATAAATCCTTTTGATATTTAAACATACATAATAAACATGCCTCTCTTGCTCATGGTTAGTCTTCCCCCATCAGAGGTTAACTGAAGTACTGTGTCCCAGCTTTTTCTCTATTTGTGTATTTGTTTGTCTTTTCTCAAGCCCTTTACCTCCTAGTTAGGCAACCTGAATAAACAGCTGTACAGATCATGACAACGAATAGTTTTATAGACCATTGCATATACTTTTATGAATTATGAATCTCTAAGAGAAAATTTATATGACTTTCTTCCTCCTTCCTAGTTTTGTTTTGTCTTGTTTATCCTTTTTAGTAGCATCAATAATGAACATGACTTCTTGGGGCAAACTGAGAAAATGCTGATTTAAATCTACCTACAGGGAGCATGCTACCACTTGAGCCACATCCCCAACCCCCCCAAAATAAATAAATAAATAAATAAATAAATAAATCCACCTACATACATATTTCAAAGGAAATGTCCACTGAGATGAATTTCTATAATTAGAGAATTAGAACTAATACAAATTAAATAACCAAGATAATTATAAACTAGCCTTTCACCTATACCTACTTTGCTGGTGGCTAAGACACAATGAGAAGGGAAATACAACCATAAATGTATGGGAAGGTTTTTTTCCAACCATTTAGCACAAACGTTTTTTTGCATCTGAATTTTCTCTAAAATAAAAAAAAATTAGGAAGAAGATTATAACAACTCTTTTAATAAGTATTTTTTTTTTAAATATTGCCCCTTATTTCGGCCACAATCTGAAATAAATTTTTTTCAGCACTATTAGAGAACATTATAAACAGCCTGCAAGGTTTTAGAAGTTTACCCCTAGAAAAGTAAATGTCTTCTTCCATACGTGATGGCTGAACAATAACACTAGTTCATCAAGATAGAAGAATACCACATGGTTAGATTTACCATATTTTATTGTGGCTACAGCCTTGTGAGGGTCATCTGTAAAAGAAAGTTTTGTGAGGAATTTTAACAAGTTTGGTCCACTCCCTTTTCTGGAGTAAACAGTGATAATTGAACAGAAAAAAAAAAAGACTCAAAATTTTGTATATGGGGCAGTATAGCAAATTATGTACAAGGGACTATACAATTCTCTTCAGCTATTTGTTTTATGGAGCATGAAACTCCTTATAGGCTGGAGAAAATGAGGAGCAAGAAGGTGTGTTACCACACATTGAAGGTGTCACAGGAGAATCTTCTGTACATCCAACAGCCTCAGTCAGCACATAACTAGATGGCAATTAAGCTATAAAAGGTCACAAAGGGTGTGAATTTAGCAAAATGCATAATGTCAGTTGTTTGGGGGGCCTTGGCTGCCTGAGGTTTTCATTTCCTTTTATAATTAGTTGAAGACTGATTGCAGCCTTTTCTAAACAGGATCTAAACAGGATACAAAATGTTTCCTTTAAAAGACTACAATTTAACATAAAAACTGGTGTTCCTACTTATAGTTTTGGGATCCATTCTCATGCTGATTCTTAGAAATAAGGTATTAAAGATCATGCATACATGAAAGTAGGGAAGATCAGATAGTTGTGGAGTATTACAAATTTTCTAGGGATTAATTAAATCTGACAGTTTTAACACATAGGTTATTTATTATCAAAGGAGAAATGTCATCCAAAGTAAGCACAAAGTAAGAAATTTGCAATACTGTATGAAAATATTTTATATACAGAAATAATGTCAAAATTAAATATATACAATCCATTATTTAAAAGGCTAACATATATTATTCTCTTAAAATATACTCCCTAAATTGGAAACTCTTTAAGACAAGTTTTATTATACATAAATGATAAAAGTATCTCAGTACTAAGTGAATTTCTATTTTTTGAAAGTATCCTTTGTTTTCATTTAAGAATATTTGCTATACTGTTATTTTTTAAAATATTTTTAGTTGTAGATGGACACAATACCTTTTTTATTTAACTTATTTTATTTTTATGTGGTGCTGAGGATCGGACTCAGTGTCTCACATGTGCTAGGCAAGCACTCTACCACTGAACCACAAGCCCAGCCCCTGTTATACTGTTATTGAAGGCACTGTGTTATACATTCATATTTAATTACAATCTCTTCAGATCTCTCTTAAGTATCTTGGACTTCTTTATGATGCTGTTTTTCAAGGTATAGAATACTTTTGTTCTCTGAGCATTATCCATATATCGCTGTTAACTCTAACACATCTCCAGTATAGAAGCTGACAATTTCCACTCATAATACAGTACACATATGCACAGTGGGTCATAGAATTGCTTTGATAATAAAACAATTTTAATTTTGAATCTTTATAAACTTTATATACTTCATAGATTTGATGTTTTCTCCTGAAATATTCATACAGGTTTAGAAAGTATTATTGCAGCCAATACCTTACATGATTGTCTTACAAAATCAGTACAGTCTCAGTATCAAATGACATATGTCCACATACATATGAAATAGTTTGTTGATTGCAGCATTCAGCTTCCATTGTTTATGTACATCTTCTGGTACTACAATATGGATTTCTCAATCCTTTCGATCATTCTTATCAGAATGCATTCAGTAACTTCTAGGAGGCTTTCTATCCTGAAAAATTGCATTAGCAGATCCATCCTTGAACTATTTTTATGTTTCTATATTGCCACTCCATACTTTTCAGTGTTCTTTATTGCCCCTCAAAATTTTATTCCAACAAGTTTTTATCTTTTGTAGTAATGTCTTTAGAAAACATGGGTCATTCTTTTTCTGTTCCTTTACATTTTTTTCTTCCTAGAGAAATAAATGAAAAGTTTAATTTTATATTTTTGTAAAAGTATATGCTTTAAAATATTCAATCTTTAATTTCCATTGTATTAGGTCATACTGAAAATTTGGTGTAATGTAAAAGGAGAATCTTGCCTGATATTTTAAAAACTACAATCATATCTACAATTGTGATAGTAAATGTAGGAAATTCAAGGTTGTTGTGCTTTCAGATTCAGTTATCACTTTCACAATTGCAATACTGAACAAAATAATACTGTTTAAACTTTCATTAAAAATTTGTAGACTAGTCAATTGAATTTTTAATGTGGAAAAATGCATTTTTAGTAGAAGAAATATATAACACTAAAACTATTTAGATTATTTTGGCAAAGACGATCAATAAGAATATGCCTGTTGAACTTATGTCCTATAGTCTACTCCAAAAATCTGGCCATCATTAGAGAATGGCAGATGTCTGCCTCAAAGGTAGGTTTTATTACCTGCTGAGATCCTTATAAAAGGGCTACCTGTACAATGCAGAGAAAAATGGAGAAAGAGATACCTTACATGAAGCAGACACAGGGAGCAGCTCTGTGTGGACTCATTCCTCTGAGTCCTCCAACATGGTAGGATAATTTTTCATTTAGATAATAACTAGTTATTGCATATTTTCTAGGCCAGATATTGTACTCAGTCCTTTACATATATTACTTTATCTGCTTAATAACCCTATGAACTTTCTAATTTTACCATATTTCCCAGATGAGAAAATTGAGCCACACAGAGTATACATAAGCACCAAGGTCACATGTCAAGTAACTATAATGGCTAAATCTTGAGTTATCTGTACTATTTTTAGTTTAGTCACAAATTCAGATCTCTTTTAATTATATAGTTAGTAACACCAGCACATGCCATTAATAATTTCAAAGATTAGCAACAGATTTTGAGGATAAACAGGAGGGAAAATTTTTCTTCCTCTTTTTAGTAAGTTTCTAGGACATGTTTTGAAAGTACAAGTTGAAGTTTACTTAAGTAAGAGGATATAATTGAGTAGTAAAAATACAGTTGGTTTCCCTATCCACAGGTTTCACATTCTCAGATTCCTGTCTGTTGCAAAATGAAAATATATGGGGAAAGAATGCATCTATACTGGATACATATAGACATTTTTCCTGTCATTATTCCCCAAACAATATAGTATAAAAATATTTACATTGTATTAGATATTATAAGTAACCTGCAGATTATCTAAAGTATACTGCAAGACATGCATAAGTTATAATAAATGCTGTGTCATTTTATTAAGGGACTTGAGCATCCACAGATTTGATAAGTAGGGGAAGGTACTGAAACCAATTTATCATCAATACTAAGGGACAAGTATATATAGGTATGAAAAAAAGGGCAGAAACAAGAAAGTTGGTTTTATCTCTCCATTCCTGAGAACATATCACCTTTCTAAACTTTCCAAATTCTCTTAAAGACCTCAGTATTTTTGTATTACCTCTAGCTCATGTATTCATTTCATTTGTCTAACATTTTCTACTTCTGTTTGAATGCCTAAGTGTTTCCTAACTCCCAGGGTATGCAGACTCACTCTGATTCTCTAAAAATTGTATGGAATTTCCATGCTCCCATGTATATATTTGTCAGACAACATTATAACAAGGGAAATGTGAAAGAACCTTTCACTCTCATGAACTAGTATGCTGATTTTTCTTTGTCCCATCCTAGTCAATACATCTTTTAAAAATTGGCTTTTTTATTTTTTAGTTGTGGATGGACCTTTATTTTTAATTATTCATATGTAGTGCTGAGAATCAAACCTCCTTTCTTACACATGCTAGGCAAGCACTCTACCACTGAGCTTACAACCTCAGCCCTATATTTTTAAAGTTTAATCAGATTTAATTAAGTATTCTGCCTTTTACATTCAGAAATATTTTCTATACTGCTATATAATTTTCTATAATAATACCTAATATATTTATAGATATAAAAATAGAGAAGTATATATAAGTATATATAAATATGTTATATATATTGTTAATCTATCCTAAAAATAGGTATAAGATGGGTACTCATTTAATTGTTACTTATTTACAAAGGTGGCTTTTAAAAAACAGCATAAGCAAGCACAGATTATTGGAAATAAGCTTGTCAAATCTGGGACACCAAGAGGACACTGTCTTCTATCAGGTAGATAAAGCAATAATAAACAAAACTGTCCAAGTTATATAATCTCTATTTCCACTAGTGCCAATAGGGTTCAGAGGTAATCTTACCATTTTACTTTCTATGGGAAACTTCTGGTACTGAAACAAAAATAATTGTTTTTTT